TCTTCAATTAGGACTCCTTCGTTGATTTAGGAATCCTTCTTCAATTAGGACTCCTTCGTTGACTAGGAATCCTCAAATCTTCAAATCTTCAATTTCGTCCAAACCTTTTGTTCCAAGCATGTGCTATTCAATCCAAGCTCACTTTTGCTCCAAAAAGCTCCAATTTGCATCTTTTTGTATAATATGCCCTTAAAACCTGAAAATACATGGAAATAGCTTAAAAGACTACTTTAACTAAGAAAACTTAACGAAAATGCATAAGAACTAGCTAACTAAGGCGCATAAATATGCTCCTATCACGCTTCACCAAGTGTTGACGCTCCGAAAAATCAATCTCTGGTGCTTCGTCTTTCTGGAGGTCTGTCGAATGCTGAGGCACCACCTGACCAATGAAGGCTCCTTCCTGCTTGTTTGCACTTTCTTGTATTTTTCTACCTTTCTACCTAATGTTCCTTTTTCCACCAAAATTAATGTAAAAACACCTTGCATACCTGTCAATGTTTCAAACATAACCCACACCAAAAACAATCAAACAAGCAAAAAATAAAAATGATAATCATGGCAAAATAAAAAATGCAGAAAAGGAAAGGTTTTTAGTAACGCAAAACTAATCGTGGAGTGATTCAAAGATCTTTCTTATTTGAATACATGGGTTGCCTCCCAGGAAGCGCTTGTTTTAACATCTTGTAGCCGGACGAAACTTCCTTCTAAGCTTGGATAGGGCCCACGGTAGTGAGTGGGATTTCTTCCACAATCTGCCCCACATCACTCTCATAGTATAGCTTTAGACGATGCCCGTTCACCTTGAATTCGTCCCTGTTCCTTAAGCTTTTAACTTGGACTACACCACGGGGAAAAACATTAGTACAACAACAAACGGCCCAATCTACTTAGAACGTAACTTACCAGGGAACAAACGTAGATAGGAATTGAATAGCAGCATTTTCTGTCCCATTGAGAATGTTTTTCCCCGAATCATTTTGTCATGAAATGCCTTTGTTTTCTCCTTGTAAATTCGTGCATTCTCATAGGCTTCGTTCCTTATCTCCTCAAGTTCATTCAATTGGAGCTTTCGATTTATTCTAGTAGCATCTAAGTCCAAATTAAATGTTTTCACAGCCCAATGCGCCTTGTGCTCTAGTTCCACAGGTAGGTGACACGGCTTGCCATAGATTAGTCGAAATGGAGACATCCCCAAAGGTGTTTTGTAGGCAATGAGATATGCCCACAGCGCATCGTCTTAACGCAAGCTCTAATCCTTCCGGGTTGGCCCAACAGTCTTCTCCAAGATTTGCTTGATTTCTCTATTCGAAACTTCGGCTTGGCCACTTGTTTGAGGGAGGTATGGCGTGGAAACCCGATGTTTGACATTGTACTTTTTAAACAGAGCCTCGATGGTGCGATTGCAAAAGTGGGAGCCTCCATCGCTTATGAACACCCTCGGCATGCCAAATCTGGAAAAGATTTTAGCCTTGATAAAATCTACCACCACTCTAGAATCGTTAGTAGAGGTGGCTTTGGTGGAAGTAGGGGTGGCTTTGGCTTCCACCCATTTCGACACAATCAACGGCTAGCAAAATATAAGTAAAACCATATGAGGGCGGAAAGGGTCCCATGAAATCCACACCCCATACATCAAAGATCTCCACATTAAAGATGGGGGTTTGCGGCATTTGGTCCTTGGCACCTATTGTACCTGTTCTTTGGCATCTATCACAAGTTATGCAAAACGTTCTAGCATTCTTAAACAATGTAGGCCAATAGAAACCACTCTCTAAAACCTTAAGGGCTGTTCTTTGGGTGCCAAAATGACCCCCACATGCATAACTATGGCAGAATGCAAGAATTGAATTAAACTCAGAATTGTGCACACATCTACGAATAATCTGGTCAGGACAATACTTCCACAAATATGGATCATCCTACACATAAAATCGTGAATCATTTCTGAGTTTGTCACACTTGTATTTATCTAGAGTGCTAGGAACTTGTTTTGTGACCAAATAATTGAACAAATCAGCAAACCAGGGCTCACTTACCTTTAGGGACAACAATTGCTCATCAGGGAATGTTTCTAGAATGGGTAAGGAATCCTCGATGTGCACCAAATGGCTGAGGTGGTTAGCCACCACGTTTTCACTCCCCTTTTTGTCTCTTATTTCAATGTTAAACAAAGTATGAGCTGAAGGGAAAACCATGAGATTTCATGTGGGATTTCTAGTGACTAGCATGCATATACAATTCAAAATTTATATACGAAAGCAACGGAAGCATGTTATCAATAATATCAAAGCAATAGTCATGCAAATCCCCTTCAAGATGCATAGGTTTATGTAAGATGCATCAAATCAAATTTATATAAGAACAAAGTTTAAGAGTAGTTTATACCTCTTGATCTAGATCTTAGACCAAGGATGGACCACCTCCAAGCCCTTTGCTCTTTCAACTCCTTGAGCCTAGCCTCCCTCCTTGCCTCCTCCACTTTGTTTAGAATGAGTGCTCCTAGGTTCTCTTCAAGTTTCCAAAATTGAAAACCTCTAAAGATCCTCACCCACTAGTGTAGTGAGAAGGATGAAGGAATAATCAAAGGGGTGAAAAGATGATTAGCTAAATCCCCCTATGGTGGCCGGCCCTTTGAGTGTTAGAGAGATATTTTTCCTTTTTTCTCTTTTGTTCTTTTAACACTTACAAAAACCCTAATGAAACATTTGCTATAAAGTTCATTTTATAGCCAAAAAGAAACAAGTCAACATTTGACCTTTCTCTCCCTCCTTTGGCCGGCCCCTTTGTGTTGTTTGGGCTTTGGGCTTTTATTTATTTCAAGTCATCCAATGCTTGAATAAAAGCCCAATGGGTTTAGGCCCAATGGGCCCAATTAAACCCGAACATTTCTTTAAGCCCAAAACGATCTAATATCGCTTTTATGATTTCTTTAGACTTTCTAATTAATCACAACACTTAATTAATCCAATTAATTATTTCCATCATCCATTAATTACTCACTACAAGAGTGTATCGGTGAACAATCGTTTTAGGTTCTAATTAGCAAGGCAGTGAGGTGATTGGCACCAATCCAATTGATTATATTTAATCCAATCACTTAGTGAATTAAAAGTTACTTTTAATTCACCTTCTTCTTTGACGACTACATTTAATCATCTAGAAGAACCCACAAGCCATGAGTGACATCTAACCATATATCATGGCTACCCAAGCTAATGTAGAAGTTGTTGGGAGAACCTATTCAGTTGGAATTACAATGTAATTCGATCCTTCTCTAAAAAAATACTCTCAATCACATCACTAGGGTATGGATATATTATGTCAAACCCCTAATGTGATTATTCCTTCTTATATGATTCAATTGAGTCGTATAGGAACGCTTTCCTTTATTACGTTCGATACTTCGGCCGAAGATTCCAGAATCATATCTTAGAGTATTCATCCTCTCTTAACGAGGATTAGAGATTCCTTGTTGCGCATTCACTTGCCTTCATGACTAAGTGGCTTAACCCTGACTATGCCGTGGACACCCGCGGATGGAGTGACTTTGACATAATCAAAGATCAAGTACTTAACCACAAGACAACGATGATGCCTTAGGTCAAAGGACTACTTACATTATTCCAACCATTAGAGTTACTTGCTTGACATGTGAGTAGACCTCCATGCAAGTACTCTCCTTCGATTGTGTTCAGTGAACTCATTCCCTTAATGAGCACCTACATACTTGTCTTAGTGTCACTACACGAATGGGATGAGACCTTCCATCCTTCTAATTGAAGCAGACATAGTATGTACCGGTCTATGCATTGTCAGTATCCCTCCGACAATCCTATGACCAGGAACCTTTTGGACATGATGGTTATGTGAAAAAGGTCTCTGTAGTCTAACTTCATTAGATTACTTCTTCAATCGATCCATTGTCCATGGATTCACTATTTAGGACATATATCGTTTATAGAGATAGTCCTAAATAGTATCTTTGCCATTTGATATATAAGAGTCATCTATACATCTATTTATTGTCCTGAAAGGTTTCTTCCAAAGATTGACTTTCAGGGCATATTTCCAACATAAATTACGCGTAAGAAAGTGCATGAATAGTGCATATCTCAGAGGTTAAGGTTTCTACGTGAAATCATAGGTTTCCTTACCTAAAACAATTTGACTGAGCTTCAGGAACACAATGGTTCCCTTTTCCACTTCAATCCATCACAATTACAAGGGTTTTGGGTCTCGTCCATACAAGAGAGAAGAGAGAGAGAGAGAGAGAGTACAGGAGGGTGAGAGAGAGAAAGTGGTACTTTTGTGTGTGTGTGTGGTTTACAAACAACCAACCAATCACCACCAATTTCCTTTAGTTCCAATTGGTCCCAAAAACTTAGGAATTTAACATGTTAGTCCACTTTCAATTGCATTTCACACATAACACATCTCAACGCCTAAGGGCATTTTAGTCTTTTCACATCAACGATAATTATTTCTCGGGACGGGCTGTCACAACTACCACACAACTTTTACTCATATACAAATAAACCAAGTTGCGGCGAGTCCAACAAAAATTGTACTCGAAATTTTCTCTAGGAACCCCTTCTCCTCACTGCTCTCTCTCTCTCCAACACTCTGTCTATATCAAACCATCAATTGTAACGTCTAAAAGTTCCAACGTGAAACATAATGATGTTTTTTCATTTTTCCTGCAAAATCCCAAAAATGAAACGTTACCCAATCCAACCCTAGCCAACCAAATGCCCAACACCTAGAATCCAAGTCATGGTTTTTTCACTTTTAATGGAGAAGTTTTTAGTCATTAAGGATATATTAGTACTTTTATATCAACTTTTAGTTATAATTATCATAGACTTAAAATGATGGTTGTAATTATATATATGGAGTATAAATTTTGGTTATTTTTTCAAATTTCCTGGATGAATTCAAATTTTAGACCCACCACTTATTTTGTAGTAAGATTTAAGGCCAACCCATGTCAAAATAAATATATGGGGAATAAAACAAAGACAGTAAATATTCCCTGCACTAATATTGCGGAATTAGGAATTTCCAAACGGGTGGGCTAGCTAACATAATAGTTTAAAATCTGATGATCAATTTTTTTTTTGGGGGTCAACCAAATATTAAACAAGCAGCACCTACTTACAAAACACTGGGCGAAAGACAAAATATACAAACCGAAAATACTAGCAAAACAAAAAACAGAAAAGGCCCAAAAAAAAGTTGAGCCCAAATCAGGAAAAACCTAGAATTCTGCTGCAGCCGCTTCCGCAGAAAAACCTGTCTGGTCCGATTCCAGACTCCCGACGAAGCATCCCCACTCTAATCGCCTGGAGACCAGAGTAGAATAGGATTGAGAGGAAAGGGAAAACATGGCAGAAAAAACACAACCAAAAGACATAATGAAACAAAGAAATTGCCACCGACCCAGTCAAAGCCAGAGTCGGCGACAACAAAAATTGACGAAATTGCTACTACTCACACAAGTCGGTAAGAAAGGCTTCCAAGCAGAGAAATGCTCTCACAAAGGAGAGAAGAGTTATGGGATGATCAATTTTTTTGGAATATATTCAGCTACTAGTCTTTCTAGAAATAAAATATAAATAAATTCGTATAAACCAAGCTAGTTTCATGCCTTGTTTTCAATAAGTTTTAACATAAAAATAAAAACATACAAAATGCAACCAAAAGTAATCATATTATCACAATTTCACCAATGCAAACTGTGAAAATCCAAAAAATAAAATAAAATAATGCAAATTGGGGATTTAGACTGTGAAAAGATAATGAAAAAAAAAAATGTAAATATGCAGCGACCAGTACAAGAAGTTTAACATGATGATATATGTAAACAATTAAAGGGAAAAAGCAGGATGAAAGGGAATTGAGAAATACAACCGATGAAAGACAAAGGGAAAATAAAAAATCTTAGCCATATTCGGTGTCATATTTTCTCTTTATATCGATGCTTCTTGCTATTTGAAACATTGCGAAGCATATATACCTGAAACAATCAGTGTTCAGTTTCATAAAGTTGGCAGGTGGAGCATTTCAGTTCATCAACACATTGTTCTTTGATATTCAAGGGAAGTAGTACCAATGTCAGCAAGCACTAGTCCATTCACGAATTACAAATATATTAGCTATTTACCTCAAATACAATGACAAGATTTGTATAAAAAAAATACTTGCAATCCAGGGGAGGACGTTTTCTCGTCAAATCCTAATTAAGCATGGTCGTGTAGTAGAGGGAAGCCCTGCACGGGCGACCTGAGAATACGTTGAAGGCGATGAACACCGGTGACCTGGGGTTCTGGTGATCCTGCATGTATATGATCTCAGGTTACCCTCGTGGGACTCCTCTACCCTTTTGACATATGGCTTATGTGGACCACTTGGTGATACCACAAGTGATATCCCTTGGGTTTGATATACCCGGCTGAACAGAGTACTTCAGTCAATTCTACTTGTACCACCCCGCAGTACATGTTAGGATTTGGGGGGTGAGTACTACTTTGTACCGCTTCAATGCATGTCTATTTGTACCATATAGCTCTCTAACTCCAAATCTGCCCACAATCATTGGATATTTCACATAAAGATATTCGATGGTTGTAATTCACCCCAATTTCTGCTATGTCATTCTTCTTAATTATTTTTTTAATAAAAATTCGATAATATATTAATCATTTTTTATGTTTTAACGGGTTGTATGAAAAAGAAAAAAGCAATACACATCATTTCCTTTGATATGAGAAGAGCAATAACTGATTCAAAGTTATATTTTTATTGTGAAATTGAGAATATGTGTGCAGTGAAATTTAAAAGAAATAGATTTAATATTTACGAGATTAGACAAGTGTCCCTACGTCCTTGGGGCAACAACACTACTATTCATGATTATCTGAAACAATAGGAGTATAAAGATAATTCTCAATTCTCACTCTTTTTGTGTCCATCTCTCTAGCCATTCTTTTCTAGGAAAACTAATGAAAATGGCTTGAAAACTTTGAGTTTTAACGATACGAACAAAATAAAGGGTAAAGTGAATAGTACCAGGATTGACTTTTAGTATAAAAATATGGTTTTTCGTTAAAGTTCCCTTCTTTTCTCTCCTCTATTTCTTTTCTTTCTTCCATATCTTCTCTTCTACTCCTTGTGCTACTTCTCTTGGATTTATAGGCAGATGGCCAACTATCTTTTCTTCATTCCGCCTCACATTTTCATTAGTCAATAACATTAAATACACAAGTGAGGTGATGAACCTACCAACTACCACTTGATGTCCAAAGCCTTCAAGTGGGTACTGCTTCTATAGAGGGCATTCACACTACTTTTACAACACTCCACATTGGATGCCCAAACATCATATTGGTTGCCACATTAAAACTTTGCTTCATTGAGTGTTGTTGGATTACTTTATTTCCATATGTAAATATAAATCCATTATGTGAGCGATCTGTATGTAGGCTAGAGAGATATTCAAATTTTGCTTGCCTTGTAAGACCATAGCTTTTGGTGAGTTCTTTGGAATAGAATAAGCACATGTCTATAATTTCTTGAAGATATCAATAGATAAACTTTGTTTCATTTCAATACCATTTGTTAATATTGTGCTTCACAAGAAATGTAATAACTGATTCATTGTATTTTGCTAAATACAATAAGGCATATACTTTACTAAGATGTGGTACTTTTGTACCAAATATCAATTTACCATTTCCCTCATGAGAATGAATGATCTTTCTTAGTGCCTAAAAATTAATTAACCATTTGGATGTTCAACTCATGATCTCCAAATCACATTGTTTTTAATACCATAAACCTTTCGGTGAATAAGAATTCGTTTTTGGCATATTGTTCGATCTACAGCTCGAGACAATATTCATTCTAACACTTTATAATTTTCTAGAATCTTTAGGAGTCCCAATCTAATATCAACTCTTTCAAGAGATTTAGTATGTTGCAACAATGAAAGTACTCAATAAGGCAATTGATACCATCCATCGGTATTGAGTACATAATTTGTGCTTTATATTTTTAGGGCTTACCTTAAGCAATTTGAATCCTTCAAGTGTTTCCTACACTTCATGACACATTCTTATTTGAAATTTATATAGAGCAATTTGTTTCTATGTATAGTTGAGGGAATACTTATGAAGATATGCTTTCGGCATTCCATAAGCCTTCATATCATATATAATTCTCCAGCGAAATGAACAATTTTCACAATGGGAAATCATGTTTACAGGAGCATATCACAATTTCAGGTTTCAACTAGGAACCATGTGTCCTATCATGTGAGTGTACTTCACTATATTACAAATGCCCATATGTAAGCTTCTGAGTTCAACATCATTTAGTGATTTGTACTATAGGTCCATTTTTACGCGTGCATACTAAATTGCATTGGAATTGCCTTTTCCATTTTGGCCAAACAATTTTTTTCTTTCGTCAACGAACAAAAGAACGTAGCTCAATATCAACACAACTCATTGATGAATCTAGTAACTAATGTAAAAACCAAAATTAACATTGGTTATCATCATCAATTTGTGATCTCATCATTCTCATGTGCAAGTGCATGCATATTTCATTACTTTGAATATCTTTGCCTCTTCAGGGGCTTTACATTATTTCTTCTAAGGCAGTCATCTCTTATTAGATGAATTGTTTGGAAAATTTGGATCATAATCTCAGCTAGAGTGTTATAGAGCTTGAATTTTTAATCTCCACTTCCGTGGAGTTGAATCATTGGAACCTATACTTCTATCATGCTTCATGCATGAAATATATTAAGGTTGTCATGTATAGATTGTACTTTTAGGTTGAATCCATGCAGCGACTGTCATGATTCGGGCGTGCAACATTTTAGTAATGCCAAGTCCATGGATAGTTTTATAACTTCAATCCATGTGGCATCATATAACTTGTTAATATATTTGGTAATTAAAAGTAATTGTGAAGATTATACTACCTTTTGTATATCATAATTAATGATACAACTGGAGAGATAGAATAATAGGTGAAGTCGTTCTTGTCCTTTGGCCGTCATAGACTTAGGTAGAGTTTGTTGAGGATGTGAGTAGGATTCCCATCATTGAACTTTGGTCTTCCATTTACTTAGTCAGCTACTCATTCTCTCCTTTTAGACTTATAAGGTTCAACATTGATCCTTCAAGTCTTAGATAAACGATTAAAGGACTCAAGCATGATAAGAGAAAATTGCACATACTTGCGAATAATTACTCGACGATCATGAAGAGAAAGCTCGACCAGCTTGATAGGAGCATATTTATGCGACTGAGTTAGCTTGTTCTCATGCATTTATGTTGTTATTTCTTAGTTAATTATGTATTTTAAGCTATTTTCGTGTGTTTGTAGGTCCATAGGCCTTATAAAGCAATAAGGTGCATTTTGGAGCAGTTTTGGGCTTGGAATGGATAGCACATGCATGGATCAAGGTGGATGGATGAAATTGAAGACTAAAGAGGCTAGTAATGTGTTAAAGAGAAAGAAGAATTAATGTAAAAATGACAAAGAGCTCAGCAACCAAAGAAGAAACATGAGTCAAGATTACCTTATTTTGATTTAACCTTTCTTAAACCTAATTCAACTAATTTTCGGCCACAAGGAGGGTTCCCAAAGATATTAGGACACTAAATAAGGATTCTAGAAGCCTTAATCTCAGCCATAAAGGGGTGTCACTCCACCATTCACCTTCCATGTCGTGCCATCATCATTGTTCATTCCTTGCACTCATTTGATGCCACACTCCTTCACCTTTCCATCAATGCCGTGTACCACCATTGTCCCCTCAATTGATCCAGATTTCATGCACCATTGCACTCCCTTTGGATTCCTATGCCGTGCATCATCATCCATGTTCCCTCCATTGACTCATTTGTTGCATCATTCCACTTCCTTTCCTTTATCTACCATGTGCACAACATTCTTGTCCACTTCATGCACTCATTGCTGCACCATCACTCCATTTTACCCCCATGCTTTGCATCATCACTTCACTTTCACCCTTGAATCATTGCCACACCATTTCTTGTTCCCTCCATCATTTCAGATTTCATGCATCATTTCATCACTTTAACTTCCACTCCATGCACTCATTGCTACACCATCACTCAATTTTACCCCTCATGCTTTGCATCATCACTTCACTTTCACCCTTGAATCATTGACACACCATTCCTTGTTCCCTCCATCATTTCAGATTTCATGCATCATTTCGTCACTTTAACCTCCACTCCATGCACTCATTGCTGCACCATCACTCCATAAACAAGGTAAGCTACCTAGTTCGACGGATGTGAATCCAAAGGGAGGCTTCCAATCTGCCAAAGCCATCACCTTACGAAGTGGAAAAGAAGTTGGATCTGATCCTAACCCATCTAAATCCAATCAAAAGGAGGACGAAAAGATGCAATATGAGGAGAAGGAACAAGGCCTGCCCACGGCAAGGATTGAGCAATCTTTGCCGCAGCCACTTACACACCCTAATTCGACCACCAAAGGTAAGTTGGGTTCAAATTCCATGACTTCTAATTCCATTCCACCCAATGCACCATTTCCTCGCAGGTTTGTGTAATCAAAGAAGGATGAGAGTGACAAAGAAATCCTTGACACATTTAGAAAGGTGCAAGTCAACATTCCACTTCTAGATGCAATTAAACAAGTCCCCAAGTATGCTAAGTTCCTGAATGAGTTGTGCACTACAAGGAGGAGGGCTTCGAACAAAGAGGTGGTAAGGGTAAGTGAGAATGTCTTAGCCGTGTTGCAACGAAAATTACCTCATAAGTGCAAAGATCCCGGCAGTTTTACAATTCCTTGTGTTATAGGAAATACTCGCTTTGAATCTGCCATGTTAGATCTTGGTGCATCAATAAATGTCATGCCTTATTCAATATATGCATCTATGAACTTGGGAGAATTAAAAAATGATGGAGTGATCATTCAATTGGTCGATAGATCTAATGCGTATCCAAAAGGTGTTTTGGAGGATGTTTTAGTGCAGGTGAATCACCTAGTCTTTCCGACGGACTTCTACATGCTTGAAATGGAAGACTCGAACCCTTCCCCTCAATTACCAATCTTACTTGGCCAACCATTCATGAAGACTGCCCGTACAAAGATAGATGTATTCAAGGGAACATTGACCATGGAATTTAATGGGGAAGTTATTGATTTCAATATTTTTGATGCTATGAGATATCCTCATGATGATCACTCTTGTTCTCTATTGATGTGATTGACTCTTTGGCGTAGGAATTCCTTGATGATTTGAGTGAGCATGCACTTGAAAAGACTTTCACGTAAAGCATTGGACTCAAAAACGAAAGGTTAGCACTTAGGCATGCCCACGGCAACAACAAGGAACACCTTGCCGTGCCTATTCAAGAAG